GTAACACTAGCAGCCAATCATAGGTGTTACTATCCGCTGCTCTGGAACACACAATTGGTCATCTTAGTGCTGTACTGTTGAACATGATGTCATAGAACATCAATCCATGACCATAAAAAACAAGATCACTATGTATTCATATCTGATGACTGAGAATTTATATATATCATATATGCTCGTGTATATAGGAGCAAATTTTTCAGGATATTAAATGCCATTTTTGTGGTAAAATTAGGTGCCTTGGCTGATATTTGGGTCTGCTTATACTCAAGTATATACTGTGTGTGTATAAAATATATTTCTATATGTAAAATTGATAGCTATATAAATTAATTGATATTGATTTTATGTAAATATATATAAAATCTACAAAAATGATCAAGTAACCTTTTCTAGTGGCTAATATATGTGCCTCCTTCTTCTTTACCAAAAGTAGTTTTAGCTTCCCTCTAGTCCAGCCATTCTCAACCTGGGGTTGTGACCCCTTTGGGGGTTGAACGACCCTTTCACAGGGGTCGTCTAAGACCATTGGAAAACACATATTTCCAATGGTCTTGGGCACTGAGACAACCCTCCTCTGTCTGTCTCCAGGTGAGTCTGCGCCCATGCAGATACACCCACATTGGAGTATCCAGCATGAAGACTGTTTCCCATGCTTCAAGACCAAATTTCATTTATTTATCACATTTATTTATAAATATTTCTCAATATATAATTACATATTGTTTTTGTGATTAATCACTATGGTTTAATTATGTTCAATTTTTAGCAATGAAAATACATCCTGCATATCAGATGTTTACATTAAGTTTCATAACATTAGCAAAGTTATGATAATGAAGTAGCAATGAAAAGAATTTTATCGTTGGGGGTCACCACAACATGAGGAACTGTTTTAAAGGGTTGCGGCATTAAGCAGATTGAGAACCACTGCTCTGACCTTTCCTCCTCCTAGTTATCACTTACTAATCTAACCTATCACAGAATCATTTCTCTTTCTTATTAGCATCAAGTTCAGAGTCAAGCCCCCACTATCATTTGAATCCCTCAAATTACCTAACACCAGCTCACACCTGATCCTTTCTTTCTGACAACTTCTCCCTGAGACACCTTTGTTTCCCCACAGTGTGTATTCTCCCTCAGTGAAAAAATATAAACCTTTTTTACTTAAACACAATGTTGCACCTAGTGATCTTTGCTGGAAAATAATTCACAAGTGACATCACACAGAAGATTTAATCAGGCTCCAAAACCCATTGGAATTATCCACTACCATCCAGGTGCTTCTGACTCCTAGTGACAGTAGAACATCATTGTTTCATCTTTCTCCTATGGACTGGCTGATGGGTTGAGCGGCTGACTCAGCACTGAGAAGCCCAGTAGCTAACCCACCACACCCTCAGAGCTCTTTACACAGTCACTAGTGCATCTCTCTTGACAGATGGTAATGCTTAGATACTCCTGCAGACTCACTCCTGAGAACAATTACATTTATACAAATCATACTATGCTGTGAGAAAAAAAGAACTAACATCATAATAATTGAAAAAGAGAAGACAGGCCTGCCCATGGACTTGTAGCTGATTAACAATGCTAAAAATGTTTGGAAACACTCACCCAAGCAAGGCAAAGAACAAGAAGCGATGTGGCTGAGAGGTTAAGGGCCAGCCTGCTGTGAAGAGGCTGTCTTGACTGGAGTCATACTGTATCCTGATTATTTCTTATCTTAATGTGTATGTAACGAGTTAGTTTGCCTAAAGAGAAACCATAGTTATTATTATTGCCTGAGTTCTGGTTGCTATTACAACAGATTATCAAACCTACCACAGATCATTAGCATGCACTGTGAGGGACAATTGGTGTCAAAATAGGGGGAAAGTTGGTGAATGGAGGAAGGTGTGGCCTCAGCTTCAAATGAGTGTCCCCCTTGGGCCAATGTGGAGTTGGGTGCTCCTTCTCCTCTATACTTGTGTTCAGACTTGGTTTCCATCCCCATGCTTGTAGTTTGTTTTTAATTTTGCTTTTGCTTTTGTTTCATATAAGATTCAGAGTTGTTGGTATGAGTACTACGAGAGTAAAATATAATATGTAAATTAAACTCTTAAAATATGTTAGCATCACTAGAAAGCTGTGCAGTTTCTCAATTGAATATTCAAAAAGCCAAATTCATTGCCAACAAGTTGGTACTGACTCATAGCAACCCCCTGGTTTCTGAGATTGTAACTCTTCATGGAAGTAGAGAACCCAGTCTTTCTCTCATAAAGCTGCTGGTGGTTTCAAACTTCCAGCTCTGTGGACCAGAGACCAACTCCTAATGACTACACTATTAGGGCTCCAATTGAATATTACACAGGATTAAAAATTATACTTAATCTGTGAAACACCTCATGACATTATTGGAATTGAAAGGCAGTTTGCTGAGTGAAGTTTGTCAATCAAAAAAGGACAAATATTGCATGAGATCACTATTAGAGGAAAACAGCCAAGACGTTTTCACATTAAAATAACAGCATTTGATGCTTCATAGGGGTGGGAAAGGAACACAGGAAAGGGGATGTCACAAGGTAGACAGATTGCTAGAGTAGACAGACTGCGAGAGTAGACAGATTACTAGGGTAGACAGACTGCTAGAGTAGACAGACTGCTAGAGTAGACAGACTGCTAGAGTAGACAGATTGCTAGATTAGACAGAATGCTAGAGTAGACAGACTGCTAGAGTAGACAGACTGCTATAGTAGACAGATTGCTAGAGTAGACAGATTACTGGAGTAGACACATTGCTAGAGTA